TGCAGCAGCAGCAGCAACAGCAGCAGCAGCAGCAGCAGCAACATCAACAACGACAACAACAACGACAACAACAACAACAACAACCACCACCACCACCACAACAACAACAACAACCACAACCACAACAACCACAACCACCACAACCACCACAACCACCACAACCACAACAACCACAACAACAGCAACAACCACAACAACAACCACAACAACAACAACACCAACACCAACAGCAGCAGCAGCAGCAGCAGCAACAGCAGCAGCAACAGCAACAGCAACAGCAACAGCAACAGCAACAGCAACAGCAACAGCAACAGCAACTGCAACATCAACAACAAGGTGCAACCGTACACTGGGTCCCCATTGCCGATTTGTTTGCCGCAGCTGCCCCCCCGGTGCGACCGTAGACTGGGTCCCCATTCCCACATGTTTTGCTCGCAGGTTGCAGTTTTTAATAGGCATTTGCCACAGACGCCATGCCGGCTGCATTTGCTCAAAGGCATTTGCCACAGCCGCCAGCTTCGACGGCCTTCTGCATGCGCGCACACCCCGCATGTGCGCGCACCGCCCCTGAGCGCGCGCGCACCGCCCCTGATCGCACACAACCTGCGCGCGCGCACGCATGCACCGCCCCTGCGCCCGCGCGCACAGCCCCTGCCCCTGACGGGGCCTATCAAGACACGAGAGAGTCTGAGAGAACTAGTCTTGAGCAAGATGGACACAAGGCGATCGCGTGTAACGCCATCTTTTCGTCCGCAATCTGGGGTGGAGCTTGTCACGCAAATGTATAGAACAATAGAGAAATGAGTTTACTGATTAATACGCACATTCTGATCATAATCACAGATATACATACATACAGACATACAAGCACATGCACATATGGGCGTTGAGGGCACCTGCGCGCTACGCGAGCCGCATCCAGAGTGGATCACGACACAGTATGCTCTAGATTACAAGTACACGGCAGGACTCGGCAGCTCTTTGTCTGCCTGCAGACAACTCACGCCCTTAACTTTGCAATGTCGTCGTCCCGAACGATTGTCCGTATCTTGGACACTGCCAAAGACACTGTTATTCTCGTAGTGTCGGTGTTTGAGCCGAATATTGAACCTCACTGTCTGCATCTTCGACACTGCCAAAGACACTGTTTTTGTCGTAATGCCGGTTTTTGAGCCGAATTTGAACGTTTTTTTTCTCGGGGTGAGACGTGTCTCGTTTGGACGTTGGAGAAAGAAAAGTCACAGTCGGACATAGCTATATATGTACAAGATATTGTGCTGGCACGTAGTAGAGAGGAGCTAAACTCAATGGCAAGGGCTGCTGGTCAACAAAAGCTCTGTTGCCTCAGGATTCCGCACCCGCCTCAGCAGAATCGCCACGCAGAAATCTTGCCAGCCCATGATTCACTCTCTTGTGTTAGGATTCCGCAGCCGCCTCATCGTCAACGCCACCCAAAATTCTTTCCAGCTCTGGAAAATTCGGCTCGGCCCCTTCGCGGCAGCGAGCGATGGCAAAAGTCGATGGGAATCTTTCAAGAAGGCTTGCGACGTCGGGTTGCTGAATGCATCTCTGTCCCTCTAAACTGTCCACATGCCACAAAGCATCCGCATGCTTTGCCACACAAGTCCAATGCGTGTTATCGTGGTTCACAAGGAGACCCTCATAGGCAGCGGCAGAGACGGGTTGAAAGACCAGACCAAAGTTCCCTTCGCGCATACGATTCAATGCCTGTGCCAAAACAGAGTGGCTGTACCAGCCGTCCGGGCCTATGTGATCGCTGGCGTCTTTGCCGATCCAAATCCTCGATGGCGAAGACTTGCTGACCCAGGCAGTTGTTGAGAGCGTGCATGCCGCAGCGGCCCGCTTCCTGGCTTTCGAAGTACCTGTCGGTCCAGACAGAAAACACTTGCTGTGTAAAGCTTGCCGTTACAGTGCTTACCTGAAACTCCAATCATCACCCTCCCTGCCTGTCGTTCCATCTGGGCAAATCCTGGGGGGGATCGGCCGGCACCACAGCTCTGGAATCTGCTTGCATGTAGTCCCTGGCCGCCATGCAGAACCGCTGCCACCTGTCGCTGGTGTGTAGAACCCGTTTCCACTGCGCCTCCCGAGAATATGAATATATATATATATATAGATATAGACACATATATATACTCGGCATACCGGGCACGGTCCTCCTCCGTCCGCGCGGAAAGGCCGTCTGGCAACATGTCCTTGAGGTGCCCCCACTCCCTGTCAACAAGCTGCGTGCCGGCCACGCCGGGCCTCCGCTCCTGTGTGGAAACATTTTGTAGCACTGAAACTGAGCGAGAGAATTCGTGCTCGCTGTGGTTCACCGTGTGCTTCTCCACAATGCCAGGAACATTGACCGAGGCGTATGCCTGCGCGGAGTCGGTCATGAGCACAACATTGGCATCCACATCAAAAAACTTGTCACAGTTTTGTCGCCAGGCGCTTGCAGTGAGTGGAGGTACACGCGGCTCACCATGCGACACCGTCACGCCCAGGCTCTCCAAATAGAAATTCGAGGGATTGCCGCGCTGAATGACACCCAACCAGACATACCAGTAATACGTCCTGGCCCCGGAGCTGTCGTTGATAACACCCCAGTTCTGAAACTGGGACTCGTCGGCCTCGACATCTATGGTCTCCTTGCCCTTGCCGAAGACCATGGCATCCTGCAAGCGAAGGATGTCCCAGACCATAATTTGCCTTGCCGTGCGATACCACCTGGCGAAGGTCGAAACATGTCACAAACCCTTGCATCAGCAGAAGTTAGAGACATGAGATACACTCTATAATCATATAGTCATTCATGCAACACCAAGAAAGCCTGGACACAACCTTCTCGTCCACAGCGAGCTGTTTAACTGTGTGGGTAATTGAAATCCCTTCCACACAGTTCCAGAAGGCCAGGATGGTCAGGGACAAGGAGTGTTGCCCTGCTCCACTGCAATCAAAAAGTGGGTTCCCGGCGCCGACTGTGACTCGCTCGCGGCAGGACTGGCAGCGGTAGTGAAGGGCTTTCCGCGTGATGTTAACCTCCTCCTTCTGCCCTTGACGAAGCGGCCCCAGGATCGACTCGCCGCCGAATCGGCCCTGAGATCCAATGTCGTTGCATCCCCAAGAATCCGTTTACCAGAGTAACATATACGAAAGTGTTCGTAAAACCCAGAGCAAACCTGAAATGTAAAGCCTGGAGAACAAGCGCACCCACTGTTTCATATTTCCCGACGAGTGTTCTGCTCGCACTTCGGATTGGTGCAGCGTGTTCCTTCCAGATCTTGAAGCAGACCATCCTCCATGAGGGCCAGCGCCAGCTCCATGGGACGCATCCGGGCAAACGTAAGGAAGTCCCTGGATAAGGTGGCCCGACTCCGCTGCCTGGACTTGTTGCTGTAGTCCACGGTGCGCTGATGCAGTGGAGTGTACTTCAGGCGGGACACCAGACGCACCTTGCGGCGGGTTTTCTCCAAGGCGGCACCCTTGGCTTTGCGCTGGTCCGCGTCACTCGGGGCAGTCCTCTGAGGACAGGTTGGTGCCCGGTGATCGCTGGATCCACAGACAGAGCAGTGGGACAAGTGCACAATTGCCCTGGATGCTGTCTGCCGCCGTTTGCCCTTCCTGGTTTGACTGGCCTGCGTGCTCTGTGTGTCCGTGGCTGCACGTGCTGGCTCTTGCAAAATGGCTTCCGCCTCCACCACCTGGATCTGCCGCAACTTGTGCACTTCTGGAGCCTGCAGAGGTGTGGGCGAGACCTCCGCCGTCTTCTCCAAGACACGCCTGGCAGCAGCTTCAGCAGCTTCTCTACACTGGGCGAGCAAGGGCTCCAATCGACCGCTCTGCTCCAGAGCCCGACCCAGTGTACGGTTCCACCAACAAGGTGCACAACAACAACAGCAACAACAACCACAACCACAACAACCACAACAACCACCACAACCACCACAACCACAACAAAAAAAAACCACACCACGACCACCACCACGACCACGACGACGACAACAATGACCACGACAACGACAAACGACAACTTTTTCGGGGGCGGACTTGTCGTGCTGCAAACAGGTTTGGAGCCAGTCGGCAGCCGAGGATTTGTTCTTTTTGGACACCTCGAGCTGCCGGAGGTTCACGACACCTCCTGCCCTGCTCGAAAGGATAACACACTCTCCGCTTATCTAGGCGGGGGGTTTCCTCCAGTCAAGGATAACATGCTCTCCGGGCTTGTCATTGGGAGGGTTTACCTCGGTGCACTGGTGGTTGGGCGCAAAAAAAGACACATGCGTTGCCCGTGTTCCTGGCTGATACACGCCCAGGTTACAATCTCCCCCCCTGCCCCTCCCTGTGTTACGGGGTTTCCCCCCCCCCCTCTCCCCATGTTGAGGCCCCCCTCTGAAACGCAAGAAATTTCACGTATCACATGCATGTATCCAT